CCCACCCGGCCAGCGCTACACCCAAATTGCAAAAGACTTCGCTGGGGAGCTACAGGCTATCGCACCACTTTATGACCTTGTCCTTGCACAGATCCTGGTTTACCGGCCGATCATTAGCGTCGTAAAACTGATAGTGAGACTTTGTCTACGGAGAGTCTTCAACGACGATGAGACAAAAGAAATTCATTCTATCTCAAAGGTCGCAGGCATCGACTTGCATCTTCTTGTGGCCCTGAATACCCTCTTGGACTGCCTGCTGGGGTGCACTTCTGGAACTGTCCCAGTTCGTGGCAATACCGAAGGCTCACCAACACATCTGATGCATTTCCGCACTCTTGACTGGGGGATGCCCCAGCTAGGTAACCTTCTAGTTAGCCTTGAGTTCGTTGACTCAAAATCAACACAACCTGGCAAGGTTTTGGCACGGTCCGTGTCGTATGCCGGCTTCGTAGGATCTCTTACGGGGGTTAGGTAAGTTGAATCCCCACCACCACGCGGTGTCCGCCTCGAGATTGACGTCGTATTCGTAGACCGGGACTATCTATGTCACTTAATCACAGACCACTGCTAAACGCCAAGACGAAATCATCAATTTTCCATCAAGTTCTTGTTCTCCTTGGTTTGAGACCTTCAATCTCCTCACAACTCCGCCAAGTACTCCTAGACCCCCACCTAGGAGTCGTCGGTGTGACTCAACAACAGAGCGACAGCGGACTCGTCGCTTTCGCCAAGTCATTTATCAAGAAGCCGTCGCCTCCTTGTTATCTTATTTTCAGCACACCGAGCGAAGCAGTTGTGATTCAAAAAGACTTCATTGGAGGCAACATCAAAGTGACCCACGACTTTATCGCTCAAGCAAATCATGATACGGACCACACCATGTGCTGCGGAGCCAAGGAATTTCACCATCGATCGTTGGCCCTAGGAGATTCCACCCTTATTCCTCCTGAGGACGCTTGGCTATCTCAGTCGGCAGAACGTCAAAACTTTGTCCATGATAATTGGAAGGCTTATTGCCGGAGAGGCGTGGATCAGAGGTCAGAAGACTCGACCAACTATTCATTTACACAAAACGGATCCTGTATCATGTCGGCTCTAACCAGCGATGGAGGAGACGAGAAGGTAACAGGTGTTACACCTGAGGTACTACAGAAATGGGTGTTGTCGGAACCTGTTTTCAACGAGTACACCCATTTCGCAACGGTCATGGATCCGTTGTCTGGCGACTTTGTTTGTCTTGAACGAAGGCTTTAATGAATAAGTGGATTGGTGAGGTAGAACCTGAAGATAACTACCGAGTAAGAGCGACATGGCCACGTCAACAGTACATAAAAATAGATTCTAGAAGCTCTCAGGAGCATTGGGTTTAAGTCCGAGTTTTAGTATCTCGCTACCATCATGAACTAGTAAAAGAAGTATGCTGCTTGGAATTTTAACAAACAAAATCCCTTTTTAGCGCTTCCACCTACAGTAATTTGACCTCTGTCTCTGATGTGTCGTTACCTAGTCACTTTTTGGTTGTTTCTTGACTGACATTGAACCATCTTACGCATCTACCATTACTCATTTTCCGATTGCTGGTACCATTTAGGACGAAATAGCTTCTTCTATTTCTGCTGTGTAATTCTCCTCTCCAGGTCCATGTGTATTGCATGGTATGAATTTGAATATGAGTGATATCATATAACCAAATCAGTGCAGGTATGTTCGGCGGTCACGATACTTAGGCTTGAGTCGTAAAAATAATAATGTAGTGAGAGGGTATTGAGGCTTAACTCTAAGGTTCTTCGCTTTAAAAGTAAATAAAGGCAAGGACTTCTTCTGTGGATCTAAAAATGCAGCATCGCATCGCTTGTTTCATCCCCGTTGTATCCTACTTCATATGAGGACGGATTCTCTTGACCTCAATCCTACCTGTCTCGTTAGGAGAAATGTTCGGTCCGAAAGCCAAGTTCTTTGGCCTTCCCTCCTTGGGATTGACAAGCCTGAAGTCAAAGTGTCGAATCATGTAGGACAAAATAGTTTTGTTTTCAATTGTAGATACCCAGCGCTTATTGAAAAGGAGCGAGTTAGCGACGATGGTCATAGAATGGGCTTGTTTAAGGGACATCATAGGGACTTAGCGGTTCATGTCAAGGGAGATTGGATATACTCACGCCTGGGCACGCATGTCGACCTGTTTGTGTTAGGTCCCAGTCTCAAATGGCGGGAATGGATAGCGACTTACCGACACCAAAATGTAAAGAGGTCTCCGTAGAAGTTGCATATAGGTAGTTGTACTTGTTTGAAGAGGTAGACCGCAGCCTTTCAAAACGGAACGCATCATATTCTTCCGGGTTTGACCATACATTCGGATCTTGGGAAACTTGAGATGACGGCATGGTAATGACAGTGCCCTTGGGGAGATGTAAGCCGTTAGAAAGAGTGATGCCACTCTCCGACGAAACTATGCGGTCAAAGGTAGCTGCAGTCGCTTCAGTCAGCTCGTTGTGCCTAGGAATTTCAGTACGAGCAGGTGATATGAAATGCTTACAATAAGAAGGGGGGTTCATTCTTTGTGACTCTTTCATAAAACTGTCAAGCTTTCCCATATCACGGAAAGAATCCTTTGTCAACTTCCCGTTGTACTTATCCCAAACCTGATTGATCTCATCGCGCAGAGGCCCAACGATCTCAGGCATAGCTGCCAAATCGTATATCATATGAATACCCGCAATGTTGGTGGTATGAATACCTGCCAACATTATGATCATCAATTGTTCAGCTTGGCGATTCAATGAGGGTGGGTTTTCTTCCCGCCCGGAGCATTCCAATACAAACTGCATGAAGTCTTGCTGGGACTCTAGTTTGTCCTGGGGTTCTCCGAGCAACAAAGCTCGTTTTTCGAGAATGGGAGGAATCAGTTGTCTCGCCTTCATCAACGTGAGTATGACTTGTTGTACCTCGCGGAGCAGCGGAATCCGAAATAGCCTTAACGGTGCTGGAGTTCTTCGGATCTTTCTGGCAGCACGGAATACATTGTCAGGGAAGGCGATGATATGCTGCAGCCAATCCTCTCGACGACCAAGCTCAGAGCCAAAGAACAGGCGACCAGTTATGTAACCAACAATCTTGGAGTAAGTGTCGTTGATGTGTATTTCATGCCACTCTATTTCACAGATTAGGTCAGATCTTATGGTATAATAGAGTAGCAGCGCAGAAATCATGACTTACCATCGAGTTCTGATGGGAGGCAAGTTCGCGTGCCGTGTTCGAGCTCTTCCAGGATGGCTGGCATGAAGTCTTCTAAACAGAAAACAAGTTAGATAATTTGTGCAAATTGTGATGACCTCGTTCTGTGTCATTCAGATGGCAGCGGAACGTACTCAGCTTCGGAGTCATCATAGACTTCAACGCCTGAATTGGCGCATGACCCCTGAAATCCAAGAACTGATGCTTCCCTTGCACGGACTATCCAGAACAATTGAATGTTAGCTGCTATATCTGAATTTCCTCTCTGAACACTCTTACGTTTGCAGCTCCAAGGTAGAAGCTAAGTTTCTCATCAGGTAAATTCTTGAGTTCGCCCAGAAAGTCGGGTGATAGAACAGTTACAAAGCCCTCGGGGCCCCAGAGCTGATAGGCTCCGTGTCGGAACTGGGTAAGAGCTTGTCAGTTGCCACCTAAAACTTGGGTTCATATGCCTTGGAAGTTATGTGTTGTACCTCTTGATATCCTTTTTCTATGTACTTGATGTAATTACGCTGCCATTCACGCGAAGCTTGGCCATAGTTATCGCCAACCAGATTCAAAACAGGGAGGTCAAGTTTCAAATGCCGATTCATACGAGACTGAATGAAGAGGTAGAAGAATAGGCCGAAGGCTAGCAATAGTAGCAAACCAACACTAAAAACAATAAGTGAGTAGACACCAGGTCTCACGAAACAAGATAAGAGAAACTGAAGTGCCATTTTTCGAAAAGAGAGCAGCGTCCTGTTGATGAGGGTGCGTCAGAACCTACATCAGTTCGATATCATGGGTAGAGGAGCCGTAGGATCAGCGGCTATTTATACGCGGTTCAGATACCAGCTCTTTACAAGAACTGGAAATAATACAAAAGACTAATATTAAACAATAAAAAAACGAAAAAGGATAAGTCAAGCGCACTAGCCTGAAGTATTTCCATTCCTATTTGAGTTTGATTCGTTAATACGCAACTAGGTCTCTAATCTTGGCAAACACTTGCGACATTGCTTGGCTGCCGGGACAAGTATGGGAATAGGAATGTCGGTGAGCCTCGAGCTTGGGGCACGAGTAAAAGCTATTTAGAGACACGGCATGATCTGAGGCAGGCAGGTAGATGCATACAAAACTCACCTTAGCTAAAAGTATTACTCTACAAAGATTAGTCATATCCTGAAATCTCGAAATCCCACCTACGACCCTGGTCTATTCGATATCTAAACCCTCAGCAATTTGAGCTCCGCTTGGCTTCCGCCTCAGTCTTACAAAGGCTATCTAATACTTGTGGCATTATGTAGGGTATTGATTGGCCAGGATACACATTATCCCTTCCAAACTCCAATCCGAAGAAGGAAGGACGACTTAATTTGATCTTAATCAATAGCACGGCCGTCCGAAATTTATTCCAGGCCAAGGGAAGTGAGGCGGCTGCGACGCGAATATGCTTGCTGAAAGGGGTTAGGCACCCATGTGTCAAGCGCACAATACACTATATATCCGTGTTAGTGAAACTGTAAGTTAAGGGTGGAACCAACCACATCAGATGGCCAGATTTGATGGTACTCTTAAAGTTTACTTCCCATACTAGCGTCTCGTAATGTCGCATTTTAAGTTAGCCTCTAGCAAATTGTAAGCTTAAGCCATGCTCTCTTTCATTTTGCCCCAAACTCCAACAGCATAAGATGATCAGGTCCTCAACCCTACGATGCTATGCTTTTCCGGCCTTTGTCCCATGTTCACCTTCCTTCTACGACGTTTATGTGGCCAAATTATTCAACATGTTAGCTGTTACTTTTAATCTTTCTTTTTTAGGCGTTGTTCATGGCCTTGTACTCTACTCAGCAGGGCGAAGTCAATTTCCTCCAGGAGTTGCATTCATACTTGGCCAATGCGTAGGCCTGCTCTTCGGTCATGACTTTCATCGCTTGTGTTTGTACCTTTGGTGCGCCTACTGGTTCGTATGGTTTTGTCGCCGAAGATATCATTACAAGCGTCTGGTGAGAACCTTTTACACTGTCAAAGTACATAGGAATGGCAATCTTATTTCATATCCATAGTCTCCAGGGCTCCCTCACAGCTTTCTGTTGGGTCATCTCCTTCTTATGCGGAACACGAAGTCTAGTTTGCCGGCAGATATTCACATTCATGTTGTCATATCTATCCTTTCGGATACCTATAACATGCGCCAACATGGTGTGTTTTATTTAGAGTAAGTGCACTTCTTTCGTGCTTTGAAATTCTTCTTGCATTGAAAGCAACTGGGTGAATTCTCCTTTTTTTTTTTTTTAATGTGTTATCAAAGTGTTGAATTTCCTTTCTGCCCTCAAGAAATCAGCTTACATTTTTTAGTTTATATCCTGTTCAGCTTGAACCTTTCATGGTAGCAATTTCACCCGAAGCGATTCAGCAAGCCACAATGTACCTTGGCAAGCATACCCCTGCGTACTCCAGGTACGAGCCAGTTGTCGGCAAGGGCACTATAATCTTGTCCAATGGCTCGTTGTGGAAGGAAACCAGGGCATTATTTAACCCCTTTTTCTCTCACTCTCGACTTCAGTCTTTTGTACCTGCCATGGTTCAAGAAGGTATGACCCTGATAACAAAGCTTGAACATGCGGCAAGTGCGAATGCCCGGATTGATAGCCTAGAGGACATATTCTCCGACGCTCTAGCAGATATAACCGGTCAGATTATTCTGGGCACTTCATTACAAGCACAAGCATCTAGTGAAAACTTAAAGACCAAGTTGGCGCAACTGAGCTGTTTGATATGTACCAACAGATTGGCATCGTATCTTTCAAAATACAATATCGGCCCAGGGCGTCAAGTTAATCAAATGGCTAGAGAATCATCCGAACAAGTCAGAAGCTTGATCTTGCAGAGGCTTTCCCACCTAAGAGCACATAGATGTCAAACTGAACATGGGACTGAACTGAAAAGAAGCAACATATCTGTAGTAGATGCCCTTCTAAGTCAACATATAACTAAAGATGGAAGCCTTTCCGGGATTCAAGTGGATGCACTTGTTGAGAAGTAAGTCGCCCAAATAGCCTATGAAGCAATACTAAATGCATTAGTGTTAAAAACATAATTTTGCCGGAATCGATACAAGCTCCTCTGTCCTTACAGTAAGAACGACGATCAACCTATCCCCATTGTTTCTCATAGCAACTAACTTGTCATGATTCACAGCATGCTCTGTATGAACTGTCACACAACGAAAAATACTTCAACGTTTAAGACATGAGCATACTCAAATTTTCGGGGAAGACTTATCTTCGGCGCCCGCTAATATGATCAAATTTCCCAACAAATTGAACGAATTGACTTTCACGTCAGCTGTTCTCAAAGAGACTATGCGCAAATACACTCCTGTCGGTTCCACCCGTATGGGAGAGAGAGGGTACGAGAAGCTTGCTGACCATGGATGATGATGTTTCTTCTTTTTTCTCTGTTTCTGATAAACACATGCCCCAAATCCTGCCCCAAATCAACAAACCAAAACCAGTTGTTTTGCGAGACAAACTAACAAATTGGCCATCTAGATACTGCATTGACTTGAAATCCACCGGTAAAAAGTTTTCAACAGAAGGTTGTATGGTCTACCTAGCCGGCCCAGCCCTTCATCATGATTCTGTCTGTTTCCCAATGCCCAACGAGTTTCATCCGGATCGATTCCTGCCAGAGGGCCGTTCGTCATTTCCCGCCATTTCGAAGCACGCATTCCGACCATTCGAAATGGGTCCGCGAGCTTGCCTTGGACAGGACCTTGCCATGATGGAGCTGAAATTAATGCTAGTGTTGATAGTCCGCAAGTTTGATTTCATACCAGACTATCAAGGCGTCTCAACCTGTTTAAACGAAGTTCCGGGATATGGAGGCCGCGCATACCAGGCGATGTTCACAACGGCAAAACCACGGGATGGAATGCCGGCCAGGGTCCAATTAGTACGACCAGTAAATAGTTGAATATCTTTCAATACTGAGAATAATAACAACTTGGCTTGAGGTCAGAGCAAAGTGGACAACTTCATTGCAGATATGGCGACTTTCTAATTATGGTTGCTGCCAGTTGGGTTCTAGATTTCAAATGTCACTGGCTTAAGATTCCAGTCAACTAATGGGATCATCGGTCGTCTTGAAGAGAAAGCAAGGCCGCTAAAAGCAATCTTATGAGGGTTTCTGACCCTCCAGCCTGGTGAAGACTAGTATTTGTGTTGTTGTAAAAGCGCCT